GTTCAAAGCTGAGGGACCATTCGAAAGAAGAAACAATTAAGCATTGGATGTCAGTGATATTGCTGAATGAGTATCGATAATGCCGATTTCTTAGGTCTACTGGAACGACTTTTTCTTTAGTAAAAACTACATGGCTGGATCAGCAGAGCTTCTCTCTAATGACAAGACCATAGGTGTCAAAGGTGTTAACTTAGTTTTTCGACAGTGGAAGCTCGTACACTTACTTCAATGGCGAAGCATACCAAGCGATTCTCGATCTTGTAAGAAACAATTTCTTCTCTGACGAAAATAAAAGATAAAAGCTTACGGTCTGTTGAAAAGGCAAAAAACCTTTGAAATCAGTTAATGAGGTCAAGAAGTACTTCAAAACGATTACTTTACAATTTGGGAGTAAATGGACCAGAGTTTTTCTGTTTTGTAATACTCCAGTAGACCTGAACGGAACTGAGTATCGATACTACCGATTTCTTAGGTCTACAGGAGCAGAGATTTATCTGTTTTGATTGTTTCCCATGAGTCTATTGCACACTGAGTTCAACTATATGTAATGCCTCTTACCTTTTCTGAATTGCCTCTGCATTGGAGTTCTATGAAGAGCAATGCTCATCTTCCATGAAGTAAAATCGTTAACCGGTCGTGTTTACTTACTGCAGAGAGCACTGATACAGAAACTAGTCATAACTACGGATATAGTCCAGTCACCATACTCTTATGAACTTGTCTTTCTCCAAATGTTGCTGTATAGACATTCAAGTATATACTTGCGCCTTATCGCTGAACCTGCGTGATGCGGGTTTGTTATATATATAGTCTTACTAGTTTTGAATTTTGCAAATGATATATAGATTCAAGCATTATTCTGCTCGTATACTTGTAATGATCTATAATGATTTGTATAGCTTGAATGTGAATGCATTAGAAGTTTTGAATACACCATAGAATACCAAATTGATCTACTTTATTACTTCAAAATCCAAGTTGAGTTAAAAAATTGATACTTTACTAGGATATGACCCGCGGTGTACCGCGGGTTAATTATTTCATTTTTTTATCTTTTTATAAATTGATGAATTTGTTGTGTATAATATTTTTTGTTGTACACCGCGGGTCATATGTGTTGTATATAAAAAATAAATATTTTAAGTTGTATTTGTTTTGTTTACTGTTTAAGATTGTATAATTAAATTTAGATTTGTTAATTCTAGGATTTCACCCGTGGTATATTGTCCCGTATTAATATCGACTTAAACCCGTCCCACCATATACTCCTGTCATGTGGAATTAAACATCATTTTGTTATTTTTTTAATAACACTTTTATTTAAAAGACATATAATTCGAGTCAATTTAAAAGTTTACTTTCAAATGGTTTCCATAATATAGATTTTTAAATTAGTATGTGTTTTTGGACCAACCCATTAAAAAAATTTATAATTGTATCTTAAAATACTAAATAATTGTATTTTGATTTGTTAATTTTAGGATCTCACCCGTGGTATACTGTCTCAATTTAGATAATTATAGAAATTAAGAAAAGATCTGAATGACTCAATTTCAAGTCAGAATAAAAAAAAATGACTTGATTAAATGTGCAATTTGTTCTAAAAAAATGTTAATATAGATTACACACATACTTTTTTTTTTCATCGATTGAGTAATATATGTCTGTTTTAAAAAATTTGAATCATAACATATGCAGAAAAAAAAAAAATTATTAACTATATATATTTTATAATAATTCAAAATAATATAAATATAAGATCAAATAAAAGTGAAATAAGAATCATATATTTATGTTTAAATTAGGTAGAGAGGTTTTAGGAAAATTAGCTCAAATTTGTTATATTAGCATTAAATTATTATATTTGATTTCCTAATCTAGAAAAATTGTAAAGAATATACCATAAATAAATAGTTTAGATATAGTAATTAGTTGAGAAAATATATATAATTTAGATTTTATTATGTATTTTCGTTTTTAATTTACCAAAAAAATAAGGAAAGATCCGATTGAAGATTTCCGGGTCAAAATCACAAAAAAATTCGACCCGATTGGAAAGAGCAAATTTGTACTTCAAAAATGTTAAGTAGATGGACTAAACATAGGAAAAGTTTATAACTTGGAGCCGCCCACAGCTAAAATCTAAAACCGGATTCTGGTTATGTCTGGTTATTTAAACCAATCGTTTTTCGATTTTGTTTGACCTCGAAAAAACCCTTTCAAGCTCAAGCGCCGGCGTTCTCTAGCCAACTCGATTTCGTTTCTGTGTTGAGATTGTTCTTTGAGGTTTACTAGATCCAAAGATGGATGGGATAAAGCTTTCGTTCCCACCAGAAAGTCCACCACTTTCAGTCATCGTTGCTCTTTCTCTCTCAGCTTCTCCGGTCACTATTGATTCTTCCGCCGCTGCAACCACCGTTCCTACTTTTGTCTTCTCTGACGGGTACTTTCCCTTTCCTCTGTCTGATTACTTCTTTGATTTCTATGAAAGTTTAACCCTTTTTCTTGATTTAGGAGGAAATTGAGTGGAGCCACTGTTCTTCTTCGCTATGTTGGTCGATCAGCGAACACGCTTCCTGATTTCTATGGAAACAATGCTTTTGATTCTTCTCAGGTCTTGGTTCTTTGTATTAACATGAAAGGATGAATCTTGTGATGTAAATTTAAAATCTTTTGACTTTGTTTCTTCTTCTTGTGGGTGATTATTAGATTGATGAGTGGGTAGATTACGCTTCTGTCTTCTCTTCTGGTTCAGAGTTTGAGAATGCTTGTGGTCGTGTTGATAAGTATCTCGAGAGTCGTACGTTTCTTGTTGGCCATTCTCTTTCCATTGCTGATGTTGCTATTTGGTCAGCTCTTGCTGGTAAGAATATTCATTATCTTTGTTATGAGTTTGGTATGAGTTTCTCTGTATTTGAAGCTGATTAGTTGAGATTTTGACAGGAACTGGCCAAAGATGGGAAAGTTTGAGGAAATCGAAAAAGTATCAGAGTCTTGTTAGATGGTTCAATTCGATATTAGACGAGTATAGCGAGCTGCTTAACAAGGTTCTAGCAACATATGTGAAGAAAAGCTCAGGGAAGCCTGTTGCTGCACCTAAGTCTAAAGACAGCCAACAAGCTTTGAAAGGAGATGCTCAGGATAAAGGCAAACCTGAAGTGGACTTGCCGGAAGCAGAGATTGGAAAGGTTCGACTCCGGTTTGCTCCAGAGCCAAGTGGTTATCTTCACATTGGACATGCTAAGGCTGCGTTGCTGAACAAGTATTTCGCTGAGCGTTACCAAGGGGAAGTGATTGTGCGTTTTGATGATACTAACCCTGCTAAAGAAAGCAATGAGTTTGTGGATAATCTTGTGAAGGATATTGGGACCTTGGGGATCAAGTATGAGAGAGTGACATACACTTCGGACTATTTTCCTGAATTGATGGAAATGGCGGAAAAACTGATGCGTGAGGGTAAGGCATATGTTGATGACACACCGAGGGAGCAGATGCAGAAAGAGAGGATGGATGGGATTGATTCGAAATGTAGGAATCATAGCGTCGAGGAGAATTTGAAGCTATGGAAGGAAATGATTGCGGGAAGTGTGAGAGGATTACAGTGCTGTGTTCGTGGGAAATTCAACATGCAAGATCCCAACAAAGCCATGCGTGACCCGGTTTATTATCGATGCAACCCTATGTCTCACCACCGTATTGGGGATAAGTATAAGATATACCCAACATATGACTTTGCTTGTCCGTTTGTCGATTCCCTTGAAGGTATAACGCATGCCCTTCGGTCTAGTGAGTATCATGACCGGAATGCTCAGTACTTTAAAGTTCTGGAGGACATGGGATTACGACAGGTTCAGCTTTACGAATTCAGCCGGTTAAATCTGGTTTTTACACTTCTCAGTAAGCGCAAGCTTCTCTGGTTTGTCCAGACTGGATTGGTTGACGGGTGGGATGATCCACGCTTCCCGACAGTCCAAGGAATTGTTCGTAGAGGTTTGAAAATCGAGGCTCTGATTCAATTCATTCTCGAGCAGGTAAGCCTTTCTTTTTCGTTGTTGCTTATATCTTTCGAATGATCTGTAATAATAATTATGTTGATTTTTTACTTTTGCAGGGGGCTTCGAAGAATCTAAATTTGATGGAATGGGACAAACTTTGGTCTATTAATAAGAGAATAATTGATCCTGTGTGCCCTAGACACACGGCTGTGGTTGCAGAGCGTCGTGTACTATTTACCTTAACGGATGGTCCTGATGAGCCGTTTGTTCGCATGATACCAAAGCACAAGAAATTCGAAGGTGCTGGAGAAAAGGCGACCACTTTCACTAAGAGCATTTGGATCGAGGAAGCTGATGCAAGTGCAATATCCGTTGGTGAGGAAGTAACTTTGATGGATTGGGGAAATGCCATAGTAAAGGAAATCACTAAGGACGAGGAGGGTCGTGTCACTGCGTTATCTGGCGTTCTGAATCTCCAAGGTTCTGTAAAGACTACAAAGCTGAAGCTCACATGGCTTCCTGACACCAATGAATTGGTCAATCTCACATTAACAGAGTTTGATTATTTGATCACCAAGAAGAAGGTAAGAATTGGTTGATACATTTATACACAATATTGCTATCTCTCTCAAAGTCACTTATTTGGTGTTGCTGCCATACAGCTGGAAGATGATGATGAAGTTGCTGATTTTGTGAATCCTAACACAAAGAAGGAAACATTGGCACTTGGTGATTCGAATATGAGGAATCTGAAATGTGGAGATGTGATTCAGCTTGAGAGGAAAGGCTATTTCAGATGTGATGTTCCTTTTGTCAAATCGTCAAAGCCCATCGTCTTATTCTCGATTCCAGATGGAAGAGCGGCTAAGTGATGAATGAACTATTTTTGTGTTTCCCATTTTATGAAAATTGTGTTGAGAATTTGCTATTTAGGTTTAAGACAATGAAAAACAGAGCTCTTTTATCAGTTCTTTGCTTAATTTTTCATCTCATAATAGTTTAAAGTTGCAAACTTTATCTTGATTCATTCTTATTTGCTTAGTGTTTACAATAGAGACAAAAACAAACTCATTTCTTGGGTGTGTATCTCAATTTCATCTTCTTAACCTGTTTGGGTTTGAGCTGGAATGACTTGACGAGAATGTTGTCAGGAAGAGCTCCAAAGAGAGAGGCCACAAGTGATTGTGTTCCAGGCAGTTGGCTATCGAAGGCTGCGAGTACAGATGCTGGAGAGTTGGCAATGTTCTTCTGGAAATGGAGGAGTCCCTTGGGGAAGGCGAAAACGTCTCCTTTGTTAAGGTATTTGGCGATTAGTTTTCCGCTGGTTGTTACAAAGCCGACGTACAGCTGACCTTCAAGGACGAAAATGATCTCGGAGGCGCGTGGGTGGACATGGGGCGGGTTTATGCCATTTGGGGCGTAGTCGATGCGGGACATGGAGAGGCCGAGAGTGTTGAGTCCTGGTAGCTTTTCTACGTTGGCTCCGGTCACGACTGAGCCGGTGGAGGTGTTTGTGGCGGCGATGGAAGCTAAGCCTTTGAAGTAGAAGTCTTCCGGTGTTATTTGTGTTGAGTCCTTGCAAGTGTATCCGTTGACCTTGACCGCTTCATTTTTCAGAAATCAAAAAGAGAACCAAAAAAACAAATTTAGATAAATTTTGACAAGAACAAAAAAGACAAAAAAACATAAATTTTGGCAAGAACAAAAAAGACAAAAAAAGTTTAACTAACTTCAAAATTTTATGTATATTTGATACTCCCTCCGTATTTAATTAGATGTCGTTTTAACTGTAATTTGTTAAATTAAGGAAAGATGACAAATTACAATTCTATCCTAAAAAAAAAATGACAAATTACAAAATTGCTTTCCCTTTATTAGAGTTAGTTGTGTTTCATTAAGGGTAATTTGGGTATTATAAAGCAAAAGCTACTTAAAAAAATCAAAACGACATGTATTTAGAAACTAAAAAATTTGACTAAAATGACACTTAATCTCATACGGAGGGAGTATTATATTATTGAAAAAAGAATGTTTGAAGATTTCAATCCTATGTTTCCACCTACTTTTTATTTTAGCATTTTGATGGTACTAGTATATCATTTTATAAATCCTCATAAATATCCTGGAAACTCTTGAATAATATAATACTAAATTCGAAATGAGAGAAATAAAGTATAATACAAATGAGAAGATTTCGTTTCATAATATCACAATTGGTGTTAAATTTCTTAATGATATAATTTTCAACTAGCTAGGGAAAAAAACATAATATAATGTGGAAATTGGGGATTTATAAGAAAAACAATGAAAATGTTTATAAGAAAAGCTTTGAGTCGTTTTTTTCCCAACGATGAATAAACAAAGATATCAAAACATGTCACGGGTATGTAAAATTGATTCAATCAAATGTGTTATGGCAGTAAATACCATTAGACAAATCAGCAACACAAACATCTTGAAGCATCTCCGCGGCGGCCACGGCTGCGACTAGCATGGTAACAACAACAACAAGATGGGTTGCAAAAGACGCCATTATTGTTGTTGTTGTTAATTATTCAGAAAAGAGTTTGTTTTTGATGAATTTATAGTTACAAATTCACAATAGAAATTCCTTCAATTTGGTATTCTTATAAACATTGAGGATGCTTTAAAAGGATATTATTAGGCCAATTTGTGAGAGGTGGGTTTTGATTCTTAATTTAGCCAAAATTAGGTTTTTAATTTTCAATTGTTGTGATTAAAGAGGGGGTTGTTTATTGGAGAATTGAGACATCTCATCAAATCTATTTGGCTTTAGTTAGTACCGTACGAGGAAACTCACCTAAATTAAACTTATCTTCCTGGATTTATTAAATTTTTAGGAACTAAACTCTAAAAAATTACTTGTATGGATTAATAAATAGAAAGTAGAAGTTGGCTGGTAATTTCGTTATAACTCAGCTAGTTTTGTTTTGTTTTTAGTCAAATGACTCAAATCGAATCCAAACTGATCATTTTACTTAGGGCTAGAATAAATAACCGAATCGAGAAAACCAAACCAGACCGAAATCTTCGGTTTTTGGATCGGTTTGGGTTCTTCGGCTGAACCGATCGGCAATACTTTAATTTTTCTTCAGTTACCCAAAAATTTTGGTTCGGGTCGGGTCGAATCGATCTATTTCTCATATACATTTTTAAAAAACTAATAATCATATTTTACCAAAATTAGACTGGTTTTCACCAAACTTAGACCGGTTTTCACCAAAACACGAACCAAACCAAACCGATTTTAACCCAAAACCCCAAATTTAGCCAAAATAACCTAATTAACCAAGATTAACCGAGAACTGGATCCAACCGAATTTATTTTCGGATAATTTTGGCATCCCTCTAATATTTTTGGTTAACCAATAACCGACTCGAAGAACCGAAGTCGCTGGCCTAGTTTTACCTTTATAACCAAACCGGGGAGATTTGTTGAATTTAATTAAAGTCTGGTTTCTGGAAGGTTTAAATGTATGTCCAACCCAAATACCGGAATATGACTGATAAAGACCAACAGAGATTGTCCGCTAAAATGTCACAGTCATTATCAAGTACACAACATATTAATATGTTAAATCGAGGAACAAGTGAACAAATAGTTTAAGACTTATGACTAACAAATTCCCTCATGGATAAAACCCCAAGTTCAACTTGAGTATTAGATATATATTATCAACTATGTAAATGTATAGATTACATAAATATAACTAGAGTGAGTACGTTGACGCAATAGTTTGGGAGAAAGACTTAATCAAAGTCAAGTCGCTTATATTTTTAATCTCAAACTGTTACAAAAACGATTCTTATATTAAAGGAAGATGTTCAGAAATGAAGAGAATAAACTCAAATGTTTGCTTCATCAATCTCTCTATTTATATGTTTCTGATTTCGTCTATTCTATTCATATCTAAATTCCATAATCCATAGGCTTACCAATTAATCTCTCCATCATGACGACTAAGGTAAAAACATGTTCATACTATTAAACGGAAAAGAATTCGAGTTTTTTTCTTTTCTTGATTCATTCGGTTTTGTGCAGAAAATCGAGATCAAAGTGAATATCGATTGTGAGAAATGCAAACATGCAATCATGGAGGCTGTTACAGAGCTAGAAGGTATGAATTCAATTATAAAAAAAGCGTGTTAAGAATTCTGCGGATATATGAGAGATGCGATTAAAAGACGAGAGATTTGAAATGCAGGTGTGAATATAGTTTCACTGGATCAAGAGAAGGGTATACTAACCGTGGTGGGTACTATGGATCCGGTCTGCGTAGCAGAACAGCTTAAGAAAGTTAAACAGAAACCAGTAGTAATCAGCGTCGGACCACCGAAAAAACCAGACCCAAAACCAGACCCCAAGAAGGACCCTTGTTTCCCTTACTACTATTACACCCCCCGTGACATGATATCAGTCAATACCTATGAGAGCGGAAGCGGCTGCACCATCGTTTGAATCCTGTCTCCCTTCTCTTTGTCTCCATGTAAAATCCTGCAATCTTTAGTCGATAATATTTTTTTTATGTGATCCTGTTATATCATACTATGTGATGAATCTTTGTTAGTGGCAACTCTTGAACCAAGTAATATCATTAGATAATACATCATTTAACCTGGAGTCTTTCTTTTACATCACATCGAGTTCTACAATTAGCAGATGAAAACAAAAGCACAAGCATTTTCCTTCTCAAAAGACAATTCATGATCATACCTTCAGGTCCTTCACAAAAACGAGAACGGTGCAAATGAAGTCCAGACGTGACTAAATATTCTACCATCGAGAAAGCAAAGATTAACCTCCGTTACAGAAACATGGTAAAACAAAAGGCAAACATACTACTTAGACCTAGGAAAAAGCATCACAGTTTATTGATCTTCTCATGAGATCTTTGCAGCAGAACTGTGATTTACTTCTTCTTCCTTCCACCAGCTCCTTTGGTTTTCTTATTTGCTGCTCCTTTAGTGGTACTCTCTGGGATTTCCTATTAGCAAGTAAAAAACAGTTTATAAACACCAAATTATCGATGTATATCCAGAAACATGTGAAACAAAAAGTACAGTGTTATATTGATCCCAGGAATCTTAAGAACGGAGGCACTTAGTCTATGTAAAATAGTTTCCTGCTCACAGCTGTATGCTTAACATTAGCTAGATAGAACTACAGAAATTACGGCAGATTAATTTTAAATGTTCACCGGATATTTAGATTCTTGTGCCTATGCCAGCTCCAGCCATTTGAACCGAAAGGTTGAAACCCCGGGATAGAGAAAACTGCCTAATGCTAACAATGTTATTGGAGGAGTTCCATCCAAAAGCATGCAGAGAGGAGACTTTATTGCTGATGGCTGGTTTATACTGCCGAAGCAAGCATTTGGTACCCTGTGATCCAGTATATTGAGGAATCACCTCAGAGACAACTAGGCATATAAGGTTTCCCTAAAGTGTGTAAAGTGTACATATATTTCCATTCATTTGTGGACATGTGTTAAGAGTCTGTGGCGGGTTATGGACAGTGAATTGATAATAACAAGATGTAGGCGGAAAGCATGAAGAGGATCGATGTTTTAAGTACCACGAATCGGGAGTTGTTTTACAATCTATTTGGAAAGCCTTAGAGATACCAATTAATTTACTAATCAGTGTTTCTTTTGCACTTAAAGAATTATATGACGTACACATACAAGTAAAAAGAAAGGAGCTTAAGAAATAATTGGTTCAACCATATATAAGATTGAAAGGGACAAACCTTTCTCTTAGCAGGCACGGATGAGTTAGCAACTGGCTTGAAAAATGATTCCAGCCTGTAACATGTTTAAGAAAGAAATGAATGGAAGGACTAATAATCACCACTATATTGTTCGAAAGGTGCAAACCTGCCCTGGGATGATTTGTTCTTCGCAGTTTTAATTTTCTCTATCGCCTATACAAGAATTTCAGATCATCCACAATATTATCAAAATAAAGCATTGCACCAATATGGCAATATGGAACACAGTATGATAACACTACATGAAGCATACCTTGGTTACCCTGTCTATGTTGAATCCATTTTCATTCACCAAAAAATGAACTATACCCTGGAAAGGGAAAAAAAAAGAGGTAACTATGAAAATGTCCCCAAGAATCCAAAAAATGGGTGGAGCAGAAAAGAGGAGAACTAGGTTTCTACCTCTTCATCTGGAGAGGTCCACTTAATATCAAGCTGCTCCTCATCTGTTATGACATCAGGTTCTTTAAAAAGTTTTCGAGCTTCGTTATATGGCCATTCCTCGGGTATTTGATACCTACACAAAATACCAAACTGTAAACATCTTTATCGCACTATGGCTATTGTTCCTTGTAACAACAGATGTTAAAAGATAGAACTCAACACAGGTGACAGGATGGATTAATTTAGATTTGACTACATATTGACAGATAAATGCTTCTCTTAGATATGTGGCTAAGGTACTGCATCGCGATGAGAAATGTTTTCAGCAAACGGCACATGCAATGTACAGCCAGCTAGACTAATTCACAAGTAACCTTCACTCATTTTGGTTGGTCTGAACTTTTATATTATAAAATCAGTATATAGGCACCAAATCGAATTACTCTTAGATAATAAAACAGAATTAAACCTTTCTTTGTTTAGATTTTCGAGTATAGTCTCAATAGATCCATGCTGGCGAATGAGCTTTAGCGCAGTCTGCCCTCCGATACCTGTGGCACAAAATACATATTAGTTTCTAACCTGTTCTCCAGTCAACAGAGAAAATAACACAATGTTGATCTATATCACCCACAGTTGAGAGGGATAAAACAAAAAAAGTCTCTAGATACCTCGGATACTGTCACAATAGTCACATCCAGACAATATGCACAAGTCAATGAACTGATCCATGGTAAGTTGAAGCTCTTCTAAAATCTGAAACAAGACCACAAGATAAGAGATGATCTCATTTACTTAACATGTAGAAGAAAGAATAGTGTGTGTGAGAGAGAAACCTTAGCAACTTCAAATTCCATGACAGGGATCTTTCTGGAGCTAGGATCCATCAGGTGGCGAAGAAACTTAGGAGCTCCAAAAGTCAAGGAATCCATATCTTCAGAAGCCACACCATAAACCTAAACAGACGGAAGCATTGCATACCGTGTAAAACTTCCACTTATACAAGATTGAAGACAGTGGTTACTCGAGACTGTCAGTAAACACCAAAAAGAGAACAAACAAAAGAATTCAGACCTTTCCTGACTTGCAAAGTGCTGCACATTGCGCTTCCGCCTCGGAAGTGGCCTGTATGTAAGAAGACACATCAGTCTTCTTTTCAAAACTTTAGCCATTTCATATCATAACCAAAAAGACGAGTTAATGGAAGAGATTTAGACCCTCAGGCCTCTGCACATAACATAAGTACCTCAACAACGGGCACCCCCATGAGTCTCAAGAGTCTTTTGCAGTCGTCATTGTGCTGTTTTGTCACCTGAAGAGTGGGAGATTATACATGTATCAATGAGTCCTGGATTCAATTGCTTTGAAGTGGATGACATAAAAACTAAGGAGTCCAATGATTCATAGATTGAAACGAATAGATTACCTTCACAGTTCTTTTGCTGTACTTCTCAATGTCCTCCTTGTTTCCTGCCTGTCAGCATGGAATAATTTCTAAAATTACGCTCTTTCACTAGTAAAATAAAGCTAGGTAAGCAACTCGTAAGGTAAGTAAGAGTGACAAACCTCAATTGCACCAGTCAAATCTGCAGTTGCATCGGCTCTCTTGGAGTAACTGAATCAAGAGTAGAATTGGAAAAACCACAGTGAACAACAGTTCAGAAACTCATCTTAGCATTTTCGAGCTAAAACTCCATTTAAGCAGCACTCCAGATAATAAAAATCTACCGTTTTGCCAGTTCTTGTCTCTTTAACTCCGGGGGCTTTCCATCGAAAACATAGCTGTACCAAAAGATTCAAAACCAATTTAGCAAAACCTTTTCCTACCCACAGAGAAAGTAAAACAAAGAATGAGGGAAGAGAACATTACACAGGCTTAATTCCAGCTTCAAGAAGACGAATCGTTCGATTAAACATCCCTTGTAAATGACTACATATACAAAAAACAACATCAGACCGAAAGATCCGAGCTTTACAAATGTAGAAACAGAGAGAGAGATAGTAATAGTAACCTAGTGACTTCACCAGCTTCATTAGTGAGCATTTCAGTCCCAGTTCTTCCTACAACAATCTGCATCACATCGAATCACAATTACAAAAAATTATAACTCTCGCTGAGTGATTTAAGTGCGAAATGAGATTGATACAAAAGGGGAAGAAGAGAACGAACAAGGAATTGGTAAATGCTCATGCTAGCATCAACAGCGATTTTCCGACCAAAATAGCTCTCGAATTTCTGTTCTTTCATACAACTTGGTGCATTGTCGGCTAAAAGCTTCGTTAAACCCTAAAAATCCGACCAAAAAAAAAAACACAAGGATTAGATCGAATTCAGGAATCGTAATCTAAAATTGAAACGAGAGGTTAACGTTTGATCCATCAGACCTTAATACCCATGGCGGTTACAGAGAAAGCAGCGAATTCGAAGGTTTTGTCTTTCTCTCTCTCTCAGGGGACTTTGGTCTCTCTGACGCCGGTGATGTTGTTTTCCCGCCTCCTCAACACGTGTGGGCGCTAGATTCTTGTCAACTTTATGAGGCCTTTAAACCTAATGAGCCCATCATGTAATTAAAGCCCATCAGATGGTTAAGGCCCATGTGTTATAGGTCTAAATGGTAACCGAGGAATCTGGCTGAATATGGCTGAATTGCTGAATCTGGCTGAATATATTTGTGTTTTTCTGCGGAATCTGGCTAAATAATTTAAACTTCAAATGGTAACTGCTGAATCTGGCTGAATTTTTTTAATAACTAATCAAATAAACTTTTAAAATTATTAATTAAAAAATTATTTTACGGAAACCGACAAAATAACCGAATGGATCTTAAACTTCATTACCGAAAGAACCAGAACCAAAATATTTTGGATACTTAAATGAAACCGAAGGACAATTATATATCCAAAATATTAGTTGGTTTTATACAGAATAATAAAAAAAATTCCAAATAAGAAAACCCGAACCGGAATCAAATAGACACGAACTATAATAACAAAAAAAACTCAAAAATATTTGAAATTTTTTGGGTTCCTAATCCGTTCTTGATTCCAAAATACTCGAAACCGAACCGAACCTGAACCGAAATTTTAAAATAACTGAATGGATACTAAACTCGAGAACCAAAATACCCAAAACCAAAAATTATAGAACCGAAACCGAACTAAAACCGAACATCCAAGACTATCCGCTATTATCCATAATGAATCATAATATCAAAAAAATATTAAAATTTTAATTATTTAAAAATCCACAAAAAAGGTATTAGTTCCAAAAATACATATCAAAATTCACTAAATGAAATGCATCTGTTGAAGGTTTGATTAATTCAATAAATAAAAGAATAAAGTGGAACTATTATGACAGAACGTCAAAAATTCTACAATAATTCCACAGACACAAATGATGTAACATTTCTATCTTCCACAAGAATTCCTCAACAATTCCACAGAAACACGTTACCATTTACAGCCTATAAGATTTCTATTTGAGTGTATAGTAACGACTAGAGCTTCTTTCTAACCCCCAAACGTTCATTTGATGTTTGATTTTTTATATCTAGTGGTTTCCTATTTATATTCTGCAAGTTTTTTTTTTTTTTCCTTTTTATAATCCTTGGAAAAGTTTTCGGTTTGTTTTTTTTTTTCTGAGTATTTTTGGGGCATTCCTATTACATGTAATCCAAATTTGCTACAAATTATGTTGATTGGATTTAGGTGCTCTTTTTCAAAAATAAAATATTTATATATTAGGTCCTTTACTACTAAAAATCTAAGTTCATATGGAATAAAATTGATTATGTAAAAAGTCTAAGCACACTACGAGTAGTTTTTTTTAATTCGACTCGTATATAGCTTTGGTTTCGTCATACATCTATGAGTAAGTTTTACATTTGAAAGTTTTATTTTTCGTTTAAATGTGTTATTTGCCTTTGATTTTAGTCCGTAAAATATATATATATACTTACTTCCCAAATTCCCAATCTCCAAAATCTCTAAACCCTAACCTTGTTCACCCCAATTTCCTCTCGGCGGCGAACATGAGTGGTAGTGTCTTCTTCCTTAACTAGCATCTGTTTAATTGTTCTGTCAGTGTGATTGATTTTTTGGTTTTGCTTTTTTCAATTCAGACTATACATATTTTTTGAGGAAATATGATATCTACGCATGTCGAGTTTCACTCTTAGGTCAAAGACAAGTTAGAAGCAAAGATGAGCATACTCGATCGATCCAATTAAGATAAACTAAAACATCGCAAGAATCATGAATTTCATTTCCAATTTAGTAAAAACTAAAAACTAAAACTATTTATCATTCTCAAGATAACTTTAATTTAAAATATCTAAAAACCATCGATGATTAAAAATTCCACTAAACAAATATCGTGAAACTCATTCAAAAATCTTAATCCACTAAAAAAAATAAGAAGAAATAAAAAGTCCATCAATTTTGCACTCCATCAACTAAATTATCATAAAAATCTAGAATATCGTGTTCCCAAACATTCATCATTCTTAAAATTGTTTTGACTTGAGAAATCCAAAAAATATATAATTTTGAAAATCCATTAAACTAATATCGAGAAACCATTCAACAATTTTGATTAAAGATATTTAAAAGACAATCATAATTTAAAATGCACTAAACAATATCTTGTATTGGCTGTTGTATGATTCTTTGGTTTTTCGTCGACCTTTCCGACGTATCTTTTTGAGGTGATTGGTAAAATAAATTGTACATAAAATGAACAAAAACTAAACTGAAAGGTATATGGCAACGAAAAAAATTATAACCTATAAATTTCCGAGCACAAGAAAAAAGAATTTGGTAAATTTTACTCTCATGATTTGTGTTTTTTAACATAATTTGTGTGTTTTTTTTAATGAAGCTCTAGCAATATGGAGTTACATGTCTTCACAAAGTAAGTTTCACAAAAACACTTTCAACCACCTACTGATCTTATTCTTTTACTTTTATCACTCTTCTGAAAGAACTATACATTGTTTTTATCCAAAAAAATCAATTTAATTTTCTCATTGATACCATTCATTTTGTAAAAGGTAGCAAAATATTATGCATGCGTCAATGTACAACTGATATTTATATAAATATAAAAGCTTCATACTTGTCTCTTCAACAATAAGATAGCATATCAGTGTCAACCAGAGTCATGGTATAATCATTAATCAACTGCTCTGAGTCATAAGAAGGTGTCCGATTACCTTGATCATTAGGGATCAATTCCAGTACTGCAAATTCAAAAACAAAGAGCTGAAAATGAAAAGATCAAACATTAGTCACTAGTCATATATAAGAAGATTTTTGAAAATAATGATTTCTTACCCTACTCAAGAGGAGTACACCAAATACATGATCAACAACATCCTGGCAACATAGCTCAAACTTATCCAAAACCGATTGAAGAAAGTCACGCATCTTCTTGGTTGTCCGTTTGGAAAACAGGCGAGAGATCTGTAGCCGATTAAGGGTAAACCATTCGTCAAACACAATGAAAACAAAAACAGTAACCAATGTACTGGAAAAGGAAACTCTTTCTGTTTTAAAGGCTTACAGTTTCAAGGGTCTTGATGATCATAAGACCTAAGACTTTCGATTAGAGGAAAAGAATGAGTGTAAGACCTAAAGCTTTCGATAAGAGGAACATAATGAGTGAGGCATTGTAGCACATAAGCATTCCCTGAGTTATATAATTTAGCACCCTAAAGAAGAAATCAATCATTTCAAATCAACAAAACTGAAATTGACACCAAAAACAAGAAGAGAAGAGAGAAAACATACAACACACGCATGCTTGACAGAGAAAGACGAGCCAAGTATCCATGTTGAAGCCATAGTTAGGCAACAAAACAACGGAAGTTTGTGACGTGTGATTTGTGGAGTTGTGAGAGAGATGATAACCTTATCTCAGAAGATTGAGACAATTTCTAAATACTACAATTCCTTTTTTTTTCCTTCTAAAAAACTTAGATAAATTTTCAAAAAGGATCTTTTTATTACTTATAAAGTTATAGTGTAATACAGAAAATTTCTATTAAAATATATATATGTTTGTTATATTTGATAGAATATATATATATATATATATATATATATATATATATATATCAATATCTGCTTTTGTTAGTCTATTGAATTGTATATATCTATAATATATATAATCATTTTAATTCTTAAAAAGTCTAGAAATTCGCTCATAATTCGCAATATAAAATAAGCTCGATCATATAATTTATTTATTAAATGATCCTTAATAACATAACTTGCGCTCATGAAAAATCAAGTCGGGCTGAGCGAGCTTATGAGCTAACGGCTCATTTTGACATCCTTAGTCATATTCCATAGAAATGTAGTGGAATCAAAACTCTTTTAAGATGCATCTATATGACAATAGAGTTTTTGGGAATCTCGAGCCAATGTATATCTCCATTTGAGTGTGTATAGTAATGACTAGCCTTTTTCCAACCGCAAAGTTCATTTGATGTTTGATTTCTTATATCTAATGGTTTCCTATTTATATTATGACTTTATTTTTGTTTGTCATTTTTATAACTCATGGAAAACATTTCTGTTTGTTTGTTGTCTTAGTATTTTTGGGCACCCCAATACATGTCATCCAAATTTACAACAAATTATGTTGAATATATTTAGGTGCTCTTTTTCAAAAAGAAAATATGTTTATATTAGGTGTTTCACTACTAAAAATCTATGTTCAGAGGGAATAAAATTGATTTGTAAAAAGACTAAGCAACACTACGACATCAAATAAATAATTTTTTTGATTCAACTCGTATATAGCTTTCGTTCGTCATATATCTATGAGTAAGTTTTTACATTTGAAAGTTTTATTTTTCGTTTAAATGTGTTATTTGCCTTCGATTTTAGTCCGTAAAATCTATACATGTTTCTTGAGGAAATATGATATCTACGCATGTCGAGTTTCACTCTTAGGTCAAAGACAAGTTAGAAGCAAAGATAAGCATATTCGATCAACTAAGATAAACTAAAGCATTACAAGAATCATGAATTTCATTTCCCACTTAGTAAAAACTAAAACTATTCATCATTCTCAAGATAACTTTGATTTAAAATATCTAAAAAAACATTGATGATTAAAAATCCACTAAACAAATATTGTGAAACTCATTCAACAATCTCAATCCACTAAAAAAATAAGAAGAAACAAAAGAATTCATCAATATCGCACTCCACCAACTAAATTATCATAAAAATCTAGAACATCGTGTTCCCAACATAGTAAACATTCATCAATCTTAAAATTGTTTTGATTAGAGAAATCCAAAAACATATATATATATATATATATATATATATATATATATATATATATATATATATATAATTTTGAAAATCCATTAAACTTATATCTAGAAACCATTCAAGAATTTTGATTTGAGATATCTAAAAGACAGTCATAATTTTAAAATGCACTAAACAAATATATGTCGTGTTTGGCTGAAACGGGCAGTGGTATGTAACTACCAATATCTTGTATTGGTTTTTGTATGATTGTTTTTTGCAGTTTCACACAAACACTTTCAACCACCTACCGATCTTATTATTTTGCTTTTATCGCTCTTTCTGAAATAACTATACATTGTATTTATCTAAAAAAATCATTCTAATTTTCTCATTGATACCATTCATTTTGTAAAAGGTACGTACAAAAATATTATGCCACAAAGGTTCATCCTCGATGAGATAACAAACCTAAAAAGACGTTGTTAAACGTTTGGTGTGGCAGACACTCTTCACTATGAACATCTTATGATACAAATCATCATCCACATGGTTAATAGTTTATGAGCTAATATCTTAGAGAGAGAGAGGTTCAAACAAGCCATAAAGAGTTACAAAATATGCAAGACATTAACAAGAACAATTGAATAAAACAAGGATCCATAAGGCTTATAAAGAAGTGAAAACATTAAAACTCTGATTCAATTTCATTTGGCTTTTAGATCACCTAGGAGTAAAACTTAATAATAAAAATTGTATTTTTTTTTTCCTGATTCAACTCTATAGCATGATGGTTTCACCTGTATTCAAGACCACTAGATGAAGATTGTGGCCGTCTATAAACCGAATCATGTCGGTGTTGAAGTAAGATATGCGTGCTAGATCTACAAAGCTTGTATGATAGAGATGATTATGAAATGCGTAAGGAGAGATGAGAGCACATAAAAGAGACGACACAAGAGCTTTGTTAACGGGGTTCGGATAACCTACATCCCCGGGACCAAGTCCAGAATCATTCACTAGAATAAGAATGCAAAAATCACATTTGCTAATGGTATCTAACACACACTTGTGTCTACCACTCTTATCTAGATGAATCAAAGAAACCACCACTCATTGTCTTTTCCGACGAGTGTGGTTCTTCTACAAAAGCCACTAACAAATCTATCTATTTGTCTAGTGGGACAACACCACACACAACATGTGTGCTTCTCTCAATTTTAGATCTAAGGTGTGTAACCTTTTTCTTGTTACAACCTCTTCCTTTTATACCTCTTAGAGTTCACCAAAACCCTAGGTTCCACAAGCTCTTCCTTTTATCTTTTGGGTAATAGCTTGTGCTCTTTTGTCAACTTGACCCAATCCTCTGTTCTGTCACAGACAAGCCTTTACAGTCGCTCCACTGTTTGCTGCAACTTGAAGCTTTTCCTCTCTGTTGCACTTCACAACAACTACAAGTTGTCTGCTCTGTTTTCTACTCTGTTGCGCTTCAAGTTTACTGAGCTGTTTATGGAAGACTTGTCCTTACGAGCTCAAAGCACATTTGGCTCTTTTCTCACTTCTTGGATCTTCTTTAAAAGGTTCCAAAGTTCAGCACGTCACTTCATTCCATGTGACTTCACATTGGACTGTCTCAGCTGTCTCAGATACTCTAGTTGAAGGATCACTGCATCTGCGTCTAGCACAGAGATAACTGCAACTGTGTCTGCATCTGTTCTCAACGTCTTGTGCATTACACAACGTTTGTAACTGTCCTAGTCTTGTTCACAGCTTCAGGATCATAATACTCTTGAGTCTACTAACCAGTAACAACCTCAATATATCTTCAATCTCTCCCTTTGTTACTGAGTTATAGAACTCAAGCTTTCTTGACCTTTGCATTTGATGTTCTTCAAGCTTTCATGTTGTATCTGAATCTTTGGCAGCTTCATTTCCTTAGAGAGGATTCTGTCATTTTATCCTTGTCTCATCTGTCTCATGCTGTTGCACCTTTACACCTGTGTTGTCAATCTTACAATTCTGTCAACACAATGTATCTTCAATCTCTCCCTTGTTGACTGAATTGTAGGACTAACAAGCATTGATGATATGCAATCTCTATAAACCTTGTTCTGGATTCTTGTGGCTCTTCTGTCTCATACAGCTTCAAACTCGGTCAACACACAACAATACTATCATTCTCTCCCTTGTTGACTGAGTTGAAAGGCTCAAGCTCTCCCTTAATCATAGCCCATCACACTCATTGAACTTACCATGATCACATCTTTAGTATATATCAAACATCTTCAAGTGTTGCTTGTAACCACGACGTAGCATAGCAACAACAACAACTAGCAAATGGGAGTAAATCAGAGAATCTCCCTTTAAAGCTCAGTTTGATATTCAACTTCATACGATGAAACCAACTCATAGTCATCAAGTACCTTGGACTTTGACTTTAATACCATATTCCACATTTACCAAACACCTTCAAGTTGTGACAGCAGCAATGACAAGCATAGCAGCCCCAACAACTAGCATGTGGGAGTAAGAACAAGAACTCTCCCTTTTTCAGCGCAGTTTGATACTCAAGCAACTGATGGTACCAACTCATCCTGCAAGGCAACCATAATACTCCCCCTGCTTGAGTGCATAACTAAGGAAAAAAGTAACATAAGAAGAGGAAATTCCAATGGAAATCTTATTAAGCATAATATTGACCCTCTTCTTGCTTCGATGTTAGAGCCTGTTCAGACATTGTTGAACCCTGCAGAAACTTCTCACATACCAAAATCATAAAACCATAACACAAAACCAGCCATCAAACCACTGTCAATGATTCCTTGGTTACAATGACATAGATGCTCAGAACTAGTTAACCAGTCATCAGAAATGTACTGCTGTCGCCAATAGGAACAGGATCAGAGCCTGCCGTACGCACAGAACAGCTAATTTCTGAAGACAAAACACAAACCAGTACTGAGCCCAGAACACTCCTTGATAAGACAAATACACCGGAAAACCACTGATACACTCTATCCTGAACAGGTTCAATTTTTGATGATAAAGATTTGAAGATGATTTTCTTAAACCTGTTTGTTATACATCTTTAAATCCTCTCAAGACCCCATGAACCTTAGCTTGATCAGAAGCTCATTAGAACTTGCAAACATTTGCTTCATCTCAAAGTTCATCCTTTGACCAACTGAAACCCAAAACTGGTCAGAAGCAATAACATGATCATCATTAAAATACCTTTGTAGTGGCAGCGGAAACTTAGACATACAGTCTCAAAACAAAACGGATGATCTTGTTAAGCAAAGCAATAGCTGAACGACTCCAGCTTATGCATTTTCTTATGCAGGCTTTCTTGCTTAAGAAGCCTTAATCTTGAGCACATCCCATCCTTGCAAAAATAGTCTTAAAAAAAAACTCTTTAGCTTGAATAAGAGTACAAATGACCCCTCTCACTATGACACACCATAGAGCAATATCCTGAATTTGAAGTAGACAGGCACCTTCCAATACATCAAAACAGAACTTCTGGACAGAAACACACACAGAACAACAGCTTGCAACACCAAGATAACACTGACCAAAAAATCCACCTTATTCGATGTCTTCACGATTTGAGACACTAGAGACAATTGATAAGAATATTCAATAATGACGATTCAACTACTAGTAGTTACTTCAGCTTCCTAGGTTAAGACTTAACGGAGTTACACACCTCTGAGAATTCTACCTCAGATTGATCCCGACCAACACCTCTATGTAGATGTCACTTAAGCAACCGTTACAGAACTGAACCGGAGTTACACAACTCTGAGTATTCTACCTCAGATTGATCCCGACCAACTAGAAGCCACTTCAGATTCCTAGGTTAAAGCATAACCTGAGCAATTAAACTCTGATTTAACCAAACCGTTCCAGACCTGTACCGGAGTTACACAACTCTGAGTATTCTACCTCAGATTGACCCCGACCAAGAGTGCACTTCTCTCCTAGAGTAAACCATCACGAATGTTTCTTCTTTTCAATTGCTAAACTCTTTTAGCTTAGCTTCAAGATTTTTGCAGAATTTCTCTTTCAAACAGGTCAGCAAATGACATTATCACAAAGCAGATCATAAGACCAACAATCATCTTCAGATTTTGCGAGCAGAAACACCAGTAGATTCTTGAATCTCAATAACTTAGACTCTTTCTGTGAGTAGAACATAACCTCAAGTAACCAGACGGTGCTTTGTCAGAAATACCACAAGCATCCTTACCCATACGTGAGCTGCAGACCAACTTTAACCATCTTCAAAGCCAAACCCAACAGCCACACCATATTCAGTGAGCTGCAAACCAAGCTTTAAGCAAAGCCTAACTCAAGAAACGAAGCTTTGCTTTTGATTTCACCAATCTTGTTTTCCCGTTTTGATTGAGTACCACAAGATTTTCCATCGTCATTCTGTGACACAAGATGGAAGTTAACTTATCACCATTAAAGATCAACGCTTCCATATAAGTCCCAAAAGATCCACGCCCGTGTAACGTCCTCCAGACAGAACATGAACACCAATGTCAAAGAAAATCCATAACACAGACGAAGTAGCAGAAACTAGTGACCCATGTCAGACAAACCAATTCAAGCCAGAAAAATCCGCATAGATGTGCCTGAAAGAAACCTACGATCTTGACCACTCTTCTTGAAAACTTCACACTGTGGTGCAAGATAGTCACCTTGAGAACAATCTTCTTTCCACCCTTCTTCACAATCAAAATTCTTTTACTCACTGTTGAGTCTTGAAGTCTAGTTGATTGTGATTTCCTGACTTAGGAACACTAAGAACATTTTTCCTTTTTCACAACATCAGGAAGACATGAACTCTTGAACTGAGCTTCTTCAACTGTCTTGAAGCAGCACATAAACGGAGTATCAAAACAGTCCAGAAAAATCCAAGAATTTTTGGCGAGATCAATGACAGACATATGAAGCCACAGGAAAAAACAGATCATGATTTGGGTTTATGGTTTGGAAGATATGACCAATTTCCCAAGACAGATCCGGAAAGATACATCTTGCGAGCAACCAACTTTGAGAGCAATTTTCCATCAAAAAACAAGGAACCAAAAGGAGATCTTTATATCCTTGGAGAGATCTCGTTTCCACGATTCCAGAGCATCTTTAAATGCTCAAATCCGAGGTTTATAGCCAAGTTAAACGAAGAAGACAATGTCAGATAAAACTAACTTCATCAAACAGCAGCTTCATCAAATTTGTTTTGATGCAGAACACAAACGAAGCAGCAAAACAACCCAGAAAATTCTGAAACTTGGTGGCAAGATCAAAAACAGTCATACGAAGCCAGAGGAGAAGACGGATCAGGATTTTGGTTTACGATATGAAAGTTATGGCCAATTTCCCACGACAGATCCAAAATGATGTCAACCTGCGAGAGACCAACTTTAAGAACAATTTCCAATCAAACCACAAGGAATCAGAACGCGATCTTTATATCATCGGAAAGATCTCACTTTCAGGTTTTCAGAACATCTTTCAAAGATAAAATCCAAGCTCAATAGCTACTCCAAATTAACAAAGACAGAACTGATAAACCCACTTCATCTTGTTCTCATTCTTAACCAATCTTCATCTTCATCATTATGATGCTTCTTCTTTTCCCCCATGTTGATTATGTGTTTCAACTTTCAACCAAAGATAAATCCAAGCTAGGAAACACACAATCAACACAGACCAGAAGTACTTATTAACTCAAGACAAACCTGTTTCTTATCTGAAATCTTCCTCTTTTTGAATGTAACCAGCCAGAACACACAAGAGCCGCTATTCAGACCACTGATGACTTGATAATCCCAATTAAGTTCATGAAGCCCAAATAAATGAAGAGTAGGCACGACATGATGTCCGCAGCTTCTTATACCGCAAAGCTGATCCTATCAATTCCAAGACTCACAGGATGGAGCACAAGCTTTTCACCATCAAAATCCACAGCTTTCATGAATTCACCTCCAATTACTCGAAGCTCATGTTAACATTTAGGTAACCACGTTCTCACCCAAATAAAACATCATGACAAGAGTCATGTCTCACGACAATAATTTGCCACAACTTCTTCTTTTGAAACATAAGAGGAGGACGTGGGTGAGCTCTTTCTTTTGATTTAAAGCAGAGATCTTCTCATGTTTGTGACACAGCAGGAAGACTCTCGATTCCCCTTTTTAAATAAACACAAATCATCATCCATTAAGACCAGCCTGTTCTCTTCCTTTAATCCTGAAATTCAAGCTTCAAAACAAAGACTCAAACTCTCATTCTGAAAAATACAAACCCAAGTTTGTAAATTTACAAAGACCAGAACAATCATCTTCTTCTCCACACCGTAGAAACACCAAGAAGTCTCAAATCAATAAGATGTGTCACATTGAATCATCGAGAAAACCTTTGATGATTTTTCCAAATGGGAACTGAGAAATCCTCTATTTCTTTCAGCAGCTTCAAAACTCGATTTCAGCTTTGTAGCTCTGATAGGCTTCATTTATTTGATGCAGAACATGAAATATACATGAACTACAGACATCGTCTTCATCTGGTAGATCTGCTTCATCATGTCTTAACTTGACATGTCTGTTTCCTTCTCTTGGCCAAAACAGAACCTCACACCAAAAAAAACCTCGTCTCTCTTCTCCACTATAGACGCAATGACCAAGACACAACCCAGATTCTGATTAACAACTATGAGCATCAGGTGACATCTTCTTTGCCGACAACCTCTCTAAAATCCAACGAACTTATCATGAACCATGAAATCTTGACAAGCTCGAGAAGTCCACAACAAAAATCGCCCGTACCGACTATTTTCTCAAACAAGACTTCCATCAATTTACGAAGACTTTATCTCCTTTTATGGCCAGATTTCACAACCATCTCTCAAGAGATTGAACACGTGCCCAAAGACTAAAAAGGACCCACTGAGATCCTTTATCTCTCTTTTTCAACGATTCACACTAGACCCCATAATGGCCTTTATGGGCCTGAATAAAACACCAAATAAATAAGTCAACCATTTTTAACCTGGCCCATGTAGAAGAAACTCCTTTCTTCATCTTCTTAACTTTTCGATGGCGATGAAGCTTCCTCTAGACGTTCCTGAGAAAACCGGTGAACGAACTCAACACTCCGGCGAGTTAGACATTAATTCTTTCGTCGTCATCTTTCTCCTTTTCTCTTTGTTTCTTCAATTTCACCACACTAGAGAAGGATCTCGAATTTGCTTCTCAAATGACAAAAAGCAACTTTTCTTTCTAATCTAACCACACATCCAAGATCTAACCTGTTAGAGATAGTAATCTCAGATCGGTTTCCCGCTCTGATACCAATTGAAGTAAGATATGCGTGCTAGATCTACAAAGCTTGTATGATAGAGATGATTATGAAATGCGTAAGGAGAGATGAGAGCACATAAAAGAGACGACACAAGAGCTTTGTTAACGGGGTTCGGATAACCTACATCCCCGGGACCAAGTCCAGAATCATTCACTAGAATAAGAATGCAAAAATCACATTTGCTAATGGTATCTAACACACACTTGTGTCTACCACTCTTATCTAGATGAATCAAAGAAACCACCACTCATTGTCTTTTCCGACGAGTGTGGTTCTTCTACAAAAGCCACTAACAAATCTATCTATTTGTCTAGTGGGACAACACCACACACAACATGTGTGCTTCTCTCAATTTTAGATCTAAGGTGTGTAACCTTTTTCTTGTTACAACCTCTTCCTTTTATACCTCTTAGAGTTCACCAAAACCCTAGGTTCCACAAGCTCTTCCTTTTATCTTTTGGGTAATAGCTTGTGCTCTTTTGTCAACTTGACCCAATCCTCTGTTCTGTCACAGACAAGCCTTTACAGTCGCTCCACTGTTTGCTGCAACTTGAAGCTTTTCCTCTCTGTTGCACTTCACAACAACTACAAGTTGTCTGCTCTGTTTTCTACTCTGTTGCGCTTCAAGTTTACTGAGCTGTTTATGGAAGACTTGTCCTTACGAGCTCAAAGCACATTTGGCTCTTTTCTCACTTCTTGGATCTTCTTTAAAAGGTTCCAAAGTTCAGCACGTCACTTCATTCCATGTGACTTCACATTGGACTGTCTCAGCTGTCTCAGATACTCTAGTTGAAGGATCACTGCATCTGCGTCTAGCACAGAGATAACTGCAACTGTGTCTGCATCTGTTCTCAACGTCTTGTGCATTACACAACGTTTGTAACTGTCCTAGTCTTGTTCACAGCTTCAGGATCATAATACTCTTGAGTCTACTAACCAGTAACAACCTCAATATATCTTCAGGTGTTAATGTCCTATCATGATGGTGCAATTCTGACCGTGTTCCACATTCAGCTTGTGCACAAGCAACGATTTGCTTATCGAGAGGTTCATATATGGGAAAAATGTCGGAAAATGCGCGAACTTTCAAATTTGGGACAAAAAAAGCATGAACTTTCGAAATGTCATTTAAATCATAAAGTTTGGTTTGACTTTTGATTAAATGGTTAAGTTTTCGTTGACCTGGCCATTTCGGACATGTCGTTAAATTTCCGTTAACGAGACGATGACGGGGTTAACTTTCTGTTAGAAATCTCCGTTGAATCGAAACGACGGAAAGTTCGATTCTTCAAAGACGCAGTTGATTCATTTTATTTTCCAGTGAAATGACGTCGTTTTGTTGTTTTTAAACCGATGTCGTTTCGATTCAACGGAGATTTCTAACGGAAAGTTAACCCCGTCAACGGCTCGTTAACGGAAATTTAACGACATGCCCGAAATGGCCAAGTCAACGAAAACTTAACCATTTTATAAAAAGTCAAACTAAACTTTATGATTTAAATGACATTTCGAAAGTTCATGATTTTTTTGTCCCAAATTTGAAAGTTCGCGCATTTTTCGACATTTTTCCCGTTCATATATACATCAAACTATAAAATCTTTTTCGAGATTAACCATAAAATTTATGGAAACTAAGTGAACCATAATCACATATCTATATGATCAGAATCTAATATAATGAATGAATTTTATTTATTTATTTGATATAAGTAATATATATATTTATAACAAAAGTATTTATTTATTAGTTAATTATTAAATTTAATTATGATCTAATTAAAAAATAAATCAAGCAATCAGATTATTGATAGATCTTAATTCGTTTCCGGTTTAAAAATTTTGATTCGATTTTTGTTTATTCTAACCTCAAATTTCTATAACTAGGATATATAACCTAGAAAGTTGTACTTGTGGCATATGTGTTACCACCATTCGGATTTAATATAAGAACTACTCCTCAGTATAAAAAGATTCTTAAAAAGAGAACAAAATGGTGGTGGCATGGGAATTGTTTTGTTACTAGGATATGACCCGCGGTACACCGCGGGTTAAATAAATTTTTGTTTGTAATTTTTTATAACTTGATTATTTGTGTTATATATATTTGATTAAGAATTTTTTTGTTTATATTCTTATGATTGATTGTGTTTGGTTTGTAATAAATCTAGATTTTACCTCGCGTTGTACCGCCAATTGATATTTTTGTAACTAAAAAGTAAATTTTAAGTTGTAGTTGTTTTGTTAATATTTTTTTTTTAGTGTTTATGATTGTATACTTGTATTTTATTTGTTAATTCTAGGATTTGACCCGTGGTAACTATCCCACATTAATATCGACTCAAACCCGTCCCACCATATAACTCCGTCCCGTGAAATTAAACACTATTTTGTTATTTTCTTTTTAAAAATACTTTTTTTAATGACATATAATTCGAGTCAGTTTAAAATTTTCTTAAAAATTATTCCCATAGTATTTATATTTTAATGTTTATAAAGTTCAAATATTATTAATATTATAATAAAAATTATAGAGTTTAAATATTATAAATACTTTAAACGTTTATAAATTTTAAATATATAAATACTATCATAAAGTTCAAAATTAAGTAAGTTTAACTAAATTATAAAAATAACTTAAAAATGCGTCCAAACAAAAAAAGTGGTCTAGGATTTAACCCGTGGTATACCGCACGATAATTTTTATTTAATTTTTAATTGAAAAAATTGTATATTTAAAGTTAAGTGTTTTATGGTTTTTCATATTATTAGAATTGTTAACTTTGGAATATTACTTTTTGATGCATATGTACGTTGTTATTATGTTAAATGAATTAGTGTCATTCTACTATTGCGAAATATTTAATATTAGTGTAATAAATAAGCCAAATATTTTTTGGAATTTTTTCTTAAAAATAAAAAATCCCGTAATTAGACAAAAAAAAAGTGAAAGACACAAAGTATTAATGTTACAGAGACAAATATTTATATGTTTCACTTTTTCTCTTTGACCTGAGAATCTAAAAAGTTAGTATTATTTAGCTTGGAATTCCATTTAGCTTACACTGGACCTCAAATTAAACATCGATAAAGCAAAACACACTTGAACATCTTGATGGGCTTTTTTACGAACACATGCCCAATGAACAAACGCCAAGCCCACAATGATTTCTTCTTCTCCTTCTTCGATACACCAAAGACGGTTTGTAAACACAAAAGACATCAATCAACAGATTATACCTTTGATTAGATAGAAAAACTCCCAAAGCTTCACTCCGTAAACCCTAATTTTCCGATGTCGGTGTTCCTTCTCGATTCTTCTTCAATTTCGAAATTTTGTTTGTTCTGCGCAATGATTGATAGTATGATTTGAACGATGAATCGATGGACATTGTGGTGATTCAGATCTTCGAGTACAATGGAAGTGCCGTCGACGCTATGGAAGGGAAAAACTGCTTCGCTATTGCCAGTGATCAGAGGCATGGTGTGCAATTACAAACCATCGCTACCGATTATTTGTGAATCTATAAGATCCACGATTAACTCTTCATCGGACTTTCCGGTCTCGCTACTGATGTCCAAACATTGTAAGATCTCGTGACTATTCCATGTTCATATGTTTACTCATTTCCTCAGAGAATTTTAGGTGAACTACAAAATTTAGGGCTTTGTTTTTTATTTGTCTTTGGGAGTGAAGGTACCAACGACTCGTATTTCGTCATAAGTTATATCAGCTTAGGGAAGAAAGAGACATAAAGCCAGAAACTTTCGCTAGTCTTGTATGTGCCATTCTTTATGAGAAAAGGTTGGTGAAATGTCGTCTTCTCCCATTTGTAGTTAGTTTCTAGTTACCTCTTAATCAAACTGTTTTCTTATGATTTGTGTGGCTATGCCACTACTAAGTTCCAACTTCTTCATTTCAGATTTGGTCCATACTTGTGTCAACTTGTGATTGTTGAATTGGGAGATGATAACAAACCCTTCACTTGCACAATGGATTCGATTGCAGCCAAGTATGCTCACTTTCTTTCTTTGCCGAGTCTCCTATTATTTCTTATTTTCATATATAATGATGCCATTTAATTTGGTTAGTAAGTGAGTGTAATCTTGCAACTTGCTAGGTAAGTTAGAAGGATCGTGGATTAGTATTATTTTGGTTTTTAGTGGAATATTGTTTTGGTATTTTGTCGTCCAATGCAGTGTATGTATGTCATATGAGTGAACTTTATTATATACGTGTTTAGCTGATTCAAATATGAGTTCTAATAATTGAGATTTACTGAACATGATAGTTGCAATGGTTATGTTCTATTAGACCTGCAAGTAGAAACATTTTTACATACTTAACTGTGATTGTTTATATATTTTATTAATGAAAGTGATAGGAGTGTGTGAGACTATAAATTCAATGAAACTTGAGAAAACCTAACTGCATGAGGGAGTTATCATTGGTTTGACATTGTTTATAGGTTGATGCAATCTTATCAACTTGATAATTCAAATATACAAAATAGAAATTAAAACGCAATGCCATGTATCACCAATATAAGAAACCATTCAGAAAAACAAAACTAATTCTATAAGTAAAAAAGATTAGAGAAATATCCATATAGAGATGATAGACAAAAATTATCTAGAGATTATTGAACTACCTTTTCATCCGCTAAAACTAATTCTATAGTTTTTCTTTGAATTCCTTTTTTTGTTTCAGATTCTAAGGATCTGAGATAGAATCGCCAATCAAATCTTTGTTGATTTCATGAAGAACAATATGAATGGAAAATGAAAAAGAGGTAATTTAGGATGAAAAGAATTGAAGGTCTTTGAGCTAATTTTTTGTCGTGTTTAGAAGTGTTGTGTTTCTCTGGAAATGAAATGGGTATATATATAGAGGACATATATGATTAGGTTTAGCTGTGATACATTTGCAAAAAATCTTTGTGAGCAAGCAAAATCTCTTCAACTTAATCATAATTGGCTTGAATTAGAAAAGTAAATGAATAATTATTAAAGTTGTTATGGAATTAGTTCCAAAAATCTTTATTTACATTTTATTTAGGAAACATATGTGATTTGCATCAATATCTTTAGCATTATAATAGGAAACAATTTGATTGTCAAAGATTGGTTTGTTAGTTATAAATATATTTATGATTGATATCTTTCAAAATTCTATCTATTAATTTCGTTTTCCTTTTTTGTAGGAATAATAAAGCTAAAATCGATTTGATGTAGAGAGTATCAATTAAGGAAGGATCCGATTCAAAAAATTCGGGTCAAAATCACAAATAAGGTAGGATCCGATTGACATATTTCCGGGTCAAAAACATTAAATTTCCGGGTCAAAATTTTGACCCAATTTGGGACCCCAAAAACTGTTGCAAAAATGTATAGTAGATTTTCTTTTTTTGGTTAACCAGACACTTACATGCAGTCGATACATCAAAAAATCTAAATCAAACCAAGCAAGCTAAACAATATGTTTTACATTAAATTTCCGTGGGATAAAGAAAATCGAAAACTACGAAATTTGTCTCTTGCATAATCTTAATCAACTTGCAGACAGTTATCTCGAAAGCTATCCTTATTTGAGAATGTTCAATGTATAGCCCAAAGCCCATATATATGCTTTGAGTTTCGTTATGTAAGGGTGCACTCTTCTTTTGGCATTTTATTTCCCTACCAATACAGTATTGTCGTTTTTGCTGGAGACAAATCCATTTCCGATTTTGGATCTGAAGCCTTCAAAAAACATATAGTTGGCATCGTACTTAGTTCTTTGGTTTCCTCATCCTATCACGGTGTGGGATGGTTCATTAGTTAAAAAAAAGAAGTAAATAAATAAAATCATGTATATCTAGAAAACGAAACTGTACTTGAGTTGCCAAATTATAACTATAATTCTATAAATAAGGGAGGCTTCATTATTCGTGCATGGGAATCGTATGGGTCAAGGAGTACAAACCAAAGAACGTAACGGTGGGTGGTGAACGGTGGTACTTGTGCTTTTTATTTTATGTGTACACATTATTGATGATCATTGTGTATAAGAAACGGTGGTGGTACGTGATCATTTAAATATAGTTACGCTAAAAAACTCTCACCGACAGGATTTTATGGAGAAACGTACATATATTCATTACGCACCACGGAAAAATACAAGGCAATTCATAACGATACGTCCTTAGTTAACACCTTCATGAGTTTACAATTAATTCCACAAACTTTACCTTTATCTTTATGCAACATCCTAATATGTTCCTAAAAATGCATAACCCTACTATCTTTACACAACAAGAACTCATCTGTTTACATTTGTTTTGAGCATGACATGTATTAATTCAAAAAATAATAATATAATATTATAAAATATAGATTTATTTTAGCAAAGAGGCGATACAACAAAAACTTTTTCAAAGCCAAATACTTCATTTGCATAACTTGATGTTTTAGGATTTTTTTTTTCATTTTAATTGATGTTTTCAAGTTTTTATGAAAACATTTAAATTTATTTGACATTTTGATAATTTATATTCAGCATTATGTTTTCCTATTGGTTGAATGAGTTTTAGTTAGTACTGTTTAATGTAAAAAAAAAAGTTAAATTAAATGAAATTTATTTTTTGAATTTTAAAACATATAACTGTAAAACGCAAAAAACAATAGATCAATCATACTTTTTTTATTTGCAAATCTACCATGTGACAGACGAAAGAAAATACAAACTGGATGCATGTTTTGATTATAAACAGATTGAGAAAATTATTAGTTTTACAAGTTTTATAAGTTCAAAAGTAGGAATCAGTGATTGAATTAAGGTGTAAAGGTTAAACATCCCGTGACTGGGGGCACATAGGCAAATAAAATGGAAACAAAGGTCCTTATTACAAAAGAAAAAAAAAATACAGAGTTCAGTGGACGATAGCACCGTACCGTATCGGGAGTGTTTAATTTGTTTTGTCGGAGCGTAACATGTGCATCGGATTTACAAATATCCCCCACCACTTTCTTTCTTCCTTCTTCTCTCCTAGCCATTAGTTTCAAACCGATAAATTATGACATTTTCTTGGTTAGTCAAAGAGTTTATTATTTTCGGCAAGGAAACGAGAATAACTTATTTTTTTTTACATACGAATGATAGTATGTGTTAAAATATTTTAAAAGAATGTTTTAAATCCAAATTACATGATTACCACTTCCGTAATTATCGCTCATGATTTTATTTTGCTTCCTGGAAATCATTAGATAGATTGGTAGGTGTAGGGAATAAAGAATCATAGATAAATAATACAATTCAATATATCAATTGAGTAAATAATACTTTCCAATGCGTGATTTAGAAAATACCAAAAAGACCAATAATGAAAAAAATATAAAGATAGAATCATAATTTGTATTTATGGTTACCTCTTTTGTATGTTGATGTGTGTTTCAAGTATGAACCAAATTCTAGTAAAAAAAAAAAGATGGTCTCTCATTGTCTTACGAAAGTTAAATTAATTATGATTAGTTTTCTTAAATCAAAGATTAGTATAATTATAACTTTATAGTATAATTAATTAATCAAGAAAATCGAGATTCTAAACGTGAATCCAGCCATGAAACCTCTTTTTTAAAACAGTCTTCTTCACTCACTGCACTTCTCTGCTCTGTCTCTTTCTTCTTCTTCTATTTCTTTCTCATTAAAAGCTGAACACAAAGATCATTTCTTTCACTAACACATTGCCAGTTTCTGCATTTGTTTTATATCCTTTTTTCTACTTGTAACCATTCTTTCTCCATTCCCAGTTCTTAGAAAGAGTCAAGAACAATGAGGAAACTTTTCTTCTTAGGGTTTTTAGTTGCAGGAATGATTCTGGTGACTGAAGGAAAAGGGTATTTTGAGTTCAATGTCACTGAATTAGATCACATTGAGGAATTAGAGTTTGGTTTCTCCAAATTTAGTTCCAATTTTAACCCATTAATGGTTGGTCTCACACTTATCAGAGGAGCTGGTTCCAAAGGAGCTGGTACTGTCTCTCTCTATCTCTCTCTCTCTGCTTTTTTACTTCAACAAAGAATGGTTTTTGTTTGTTTGTTTGTTTATCATATATTAGTACCACACTATCACTCATGTGTCTTAGATAGTTGCATTTTATAGAAAGTTGCTTTCTGATTTTGGAATGTGAAGTACATTATGTTATGTGTATATGAAATGTGGCTATAAAACATGAATTTTTATGTCACTGCAAAAAAATGTAAAAAACAGAACAGTGTTTGAATCTAAGATCTGTGTGTCTTAATTACAGTTTGTTTGGATGGAACATTGCCTGGATATCACTTACATCGTGGACATGGATCTGGAGCCAATAGCTGGCTTATTCAATTAGAGGTTAGCAAAAGAATATTAATGAAGTTTCTGTTTTTAGTATTGTTTTGTTACTAAAGATTTGAATGTGTGTTGAAATTGGGAATGTGGAAAGGGAGGAGGATGGTGTGACAACATAAGGAACTGTGTATACCGAAAGAAGTCGCGTCGTGGTTCTTCTAACTATATGGAGAAACAAATACAGTTTACAGGAATACTTAGCAATAAAGCTCAAGAAAATCCAGGTCTCTTTGTCTTTGGGCTTTTATTAGTAATGATCTTGAAGAACAATAGCTCATTCATTTATATTTGCAGATTTTTTTAACTGGAATAGAGTTAAGCTTCGTTATTGCGATGGTGGTTCCTTCAGTGGAGATAGTCAGAACAAGGTTCTCATTGATACCGATGAATCTAGAGATCATACATTTCACTTTCTTGATTCTATGCTTTCTCAGTTTTGGGGTTTGATTTGTTGTTTCTTTTCATTCTCTTAAACATGTAATGTTTCAGGCTGCAGGGCTTCAGTTTAGAGGAGAGAAGATATGGAGAGCCGCGATGGACGATTTGAAGGCAAAGGGAATGCGAAATGCGAAACAGGTGTTTTATCTTTGTCCTTCTCTTGCTAATAGTCTTTTCTATACATTGATGAAACAGTTTTTTTTAATTTGTGTAATACTCTTTCAGGCACTTCTATCTGGATGCTCTGCCGGCGGTTTGGCAGTGATTTTACGCTGTGACGAATTCAGAAACTTGTTTTCTGGAAGTACCAGAGTCAAATGCTTAAGTGATGCTGGCTTGTTCTTGGACACGTAAGTTAGTTCATATGAATCTTTCCTCTTTTTTTCTTCTCAAAATCAACTTAGTATCTGTTATTGAACTGCGCTTGTTTTACGTGATTAAAGGCCTGATGTATCCGGTGGCCACACGATAAGGAACTTATATAACGGCGTTGTGCAGTTGCAGGTGTGATATTGTTTACCAATCTTCATATTATAAACTTTATAAAGTAAAAAGATTTTACTGTAACACTTTGCTGTTATGGTAATGAATCAGGGAGTGAAGAACAATTTGCCACATTTATGCACTAACCATCTCAATCCAACCTCTGTAAGCTCTTCTTCTTTTAGTCGAATCGATTTTCTTTTGTATATATTATCGCAGAAGCTGACCCGTAAACTCTTTATGTATCAATTGAGGACAGTGTTTCTTCCCTCAAAACTTGATCAGTCAGATGAAAACTCCTCTTTTTATTGTCAATGCAGCTTATGATATTTGGCAGGTAAAACTTTCTTCTCTAGAAATTAACTCCATGCATGTTTTATGCTAATAGAGATTGTTAAAAGTAATCATTTTGGTTTGTTTTAACAGATTCAAAGTAGTATCGCTCCGCCAAGTGCAGATCCTAGTGGTTATTGGCATGAATGCAGATTAAACCATGGAAGATGCACCCCGGCACAGATCCGGTTCTTGCAAGGTCGAAAGAACCTGAAAATTCCTAATGTTTAGAAGTTATCATTTTCAAAATGACTCAACCTCACTATTATCTTATGATGTTGTCCTTTCTAACAGGGTTTAGAAATCAAATGTTGAGAGCTGTAAGTGGATTTTCGAATTCAAGAAAGAACGGTCTGTTTATCAATTCTTGCTTTGCTCATTGCCAAACCGAAAGACAAGACACTTGGTTCGCCGATGATTCTCCTGTTATCCACAAAAAGGTAACCAATTCATCTTCACATCAATTTATGTGTTTACACATTTACCAACAATAGAGTCATAAGTAGAATTTTGAAATAATCAAATTTTTAACGTTTTAAAATTGCGATTTAGGCTGTTGCGATAGCGGTTGGAGATTGGTATTTTGATAGAGCTGAAGTGAAGCTA